GAGTAGCTGGGACTACAGGCTCACACCACCACGCCCAGCTAATTTTTTTGTATTTTTAGTAGAGGCGGGGTTTCACTATGTTGGCCAGGTTGGTCTCAATCTCCTGACCTCGTGATCCACCGGCCTTGGCCTCGCAAAGTGCTGGGATTACAGTCATGAGCCACTGTGCCCAGCTGACTTCTGTACTTTTTCAAAGGTGAATTTTTAGGGAGGAGATTTCTTGAGAAGTGGAGAAGATAATGGGATAAGTTGTAAAAGTGCCCAGAAATATGAGTTTCTAAGAGACCTTGAGATGTCTGTATCTGTCCATTTGTATGAAAGAAGACCAGACGTGTTGTCCGAGCTGCCTATAGGAAGATAGAAGAGGTAGCTAGGTTGTGGTGGCTCATATTTGTAATCTCAGAACTTTGGGAGGTGGAGGCAGGAGAATGGCTTGAGGCCAGGAGTTTCAGACCAGCCTGGGCAACATAGCAAGATGCCATCTTTATAAAAAAAGTTTTAAAAATTATCAGAGTATGGTGGTGCACACTACTACAGTCCCAGCTACTTGGGAGGCTAAAGCAAGGAGGATTGCTTCAGCCTAGGAGTTCGAGGCTGCAGTGAACTGTGACTATACCACTGTACTCTGGTCTGGGCAACAGAATGAGATCCTGTATTTATTTATTTTTTTAAATATATCTTTAGTCTTAGTCTATTCCAAATAACAAAGAAGAATGATTTATTCATTTAAAGGCATTTTAAGAGCAGTCTTTGTAAACCACCACTAGACCTCTTTGGAATGGGCTGACCTGAAAGCAGAGAGAATGTAACCATGTGTTTTTAAGTGGCATTGTTTAGTGGTTCTTCACAGCAGTCTAAAGAGAAAGTATCTGGCATCAGACTTGCTGGATGTGCAGAGATGCCAAGATCTCTCGTTTGAGCTAGTCTCTGCAGTGTTTTTGCTCTCAAGCCTGATGGTAGAGTGACGGCTTTGATTTGCTTCCTGCCTAAAGCCTCCTTTGGATGAATTTAAAAACCTGTTTGTAAAAAAAAAAAAAAAACCTGTTTGTTTCCCTATCAGCTGGCTGAGCCTTACCCATAATTCCTGAACTTTGATTATGAAGGTTATTATAGGACAAGAGCTTCTTTGTAAAAGAGCATGTTTAATACTCTGGGGTCTAGCGTGACTAGAGGATATAAATTGTATGGAAGCAATTAAATGCAAAGGAAATGTCATGTGGGCTGAATTTAAACATAACTTGTGGCATTGATTTTTTTTTTTTAACTTACACTAAGAAGGATGGAGAGAGAAAACTAAAGAAAGAGAGAAGGGAAATAGGCCAAGAGAGTCAGAGAAGCACACGCAGAGACAAGAGAAAAGGAGTCATTTTTAACATTTGGTTAAAAGTCCAAAGCCCAGAGCCAGCATTATGTGAATTATACTAGTATTATGCCATTGCCCTTTACATGAACTCTTTCAAAACACAAATGTCAGGAAAGTATACTGTGCTTTGGAGCTTGTATCTTTTTCCAGTTGCTCACCTTTATCTTAAGGCATATTTGTACATACAGCAGTGATTTTTGGAGGAATGTGTTAATAAACAGACCTGAAGGAAGCTCCATAAATGATTAAAGTGCTTCTTTCTCTAGCTTTCTCTACTTTTATGCTCATGGCCACTTTTTTTTTTTTTTTTTTTTGACATGGAGTTTTGCTCTTATTGCCCGTGCTGGAGTGAAATGGTGTAATCTTGGCTCACTGCAACTTTTGCCTCTTGGGTTCAAGCGATTCTCCTGCCTCAGCCTCCCAAGGAGCTGTGATTACAGGCATATACCACCACAACTGGCTAATTTATTTGGATTTAGTAGAGATGGGGTTTCACCAAGTTGGTCAGGCTAGTCTCGAACTCTTGACCTCAAGTGATCCACCTACCTTGGCCTCCCAAAGTGCTGGGATTACAGACATGAGTCACTGCGCCTGGCTGCCATTGTATATTTCATACAGAGTGGCTCATCTTTGGACTTTCGTTTAGGAGTAGTGTGTCATTTCTCACTTGTCTAGAATGTCCTCCATCTCCATGTTTGGTCTGCTAAGTCTTAGCCAACCCCATCACCCCTCTAAGGCCTTTTTGCACCAACCAACTAGAAGACTCCTACTCTAGATCCCCATAGTAATTTGATCCGTCAGGGTAATTTGACACTAAGTCTTTTCTACTGCCCATCAAAGTGTCCTGTAAGGTTTGTTTGTAAATGAATGGGTTTATTTCATTTCCCCAACTTGCTAATTCTTAGGATATGGAACTGGTGTTGTATCATCCTTCATGCCTAGCACATATTGGTACTAGGGAATATTTGTTGAGATTAATGTTAACACTGAACATGCTGTTGAAATAATCAAAATGTGATTGGGTGGTCAGAGGCAGAAATGGCTGCTTTTAGATTAGATGTAATAGTATAGCAAGTTTGATGTGAAATTGAGTTTAGAAATAATAGATAATCTTTGATTATTTGCCGTGATAGTACTTGTCCTGTATTTTTATTCTTTATGCTATAAACTCTTAGTGACAAGAACCAAATCTTACCTGCCATGCGTAATACTTCTCTTTTTTATTTTTATTTTATTTTATTTTTTTTGAGACAGAGTCTTGCTATGTCACCTAGGCTGGAGTGCAGTGGGGTGATTTCAGCTCATTGCAACCTTTGCCCCTGGGTGCAAGCAAATCTCCTGCCTCAGCCTCTCGAGTAGCTGGGACTACAGGCATGCACCACCATGCTTGGCTAATTTTTTTTTTTTTTTTGGCGTAATACTATTCTAATGCCTGGCCCAAAGCATGGCATGCATAGTAGGGATTTATTTAACTTTTTGCTGAAAGAAATAGAAATGATTATTTTTAAAATTTCTCCATTATTTAGATCTTCTGGTGACTCTTTCCTGTGCAATAAGCCAATACATATTTACTGAGCACATACTGTATGCCACATACTGGTACTGTGCTTAGCATAGTGGATACATATATTTCGCTTTAGAATATACTCTATTCTTTGTATTTAGTTCTTAGCCTGACTATAAATTCTAAAAAAAAAAAAAAAAAAAAAAAAAATCACTTTTTCAAGCAGTAACAATGAAGATCCAAGAAAGGAAAAGCTCCTGGTGTTAATTCAATATATTCAACTATTCCCAGATTATTTCCACATTCCACTTGATGGTGGAAATTTACCACCCCCTCCTTGCCTTTCAAATGATCCTAAGATTGCAACTTTTCCCAGTGGAGTTGGAGAGGTAGAGTAGGCTGTTGGGGTTTCAAGGGACTTTTCAGGATTCAAAGGAAATAGGGGAATTGGAGATATCAACAAAACTAATTAAGTGGATTGACTGTGTCAGTAGTGAGTACAGAGATGTCAGAAAAGCTAGTTAGTAGCAAGTATTTAAACACAGCCTCAAGTTCATTTTCAGTGGTGTCACCATCATCATCCACAAACAAGCTTCAAAGGAAGTTTAGCCAGATTCATCCAGGAAAGTTCATTCTTCTAGGAACATCACATTCTAAATTACATATTCATTGTTAATATCTTCATTTAAAAATTTAACTTGGGCTCTTTTATTCTTTACTTGTCCCTTAAGGTCATACAGACCCAAGATTTAACAACGTTATCATCTTTTCAGATCTCAGAAAAGTGGGAAAATGAATCCCCTTTTGACCGGAATAAAGGGAAGAAGAATTTAAAATTATAAACCAGGTTTACTTTACTCATAGGTGGTCATATATTTAAATTCAACATTGCCTATTTTTTTATGTTAAAAAACTGCTCAAGTTATAAATAAATGCATTCTTGCTTTAAGAAATCCAGCTAAAGTGATAGTCTTTCTTGACCCTCTATCCCTAATTCTGCTCATCTCCCCAGAGGGAGAGCTCCTTTCTCAGTTCAGGGACTATCCTTCAGACATGTGCAGGATAGTCATCTTCTTCTTATTCCTCCTCCTCTTCTTCTTGTTCTTGTAATATATTATACCTTAACTTCCTTTTTCTCTGCCTCTTTAAAACATTTTTTTTTCTATAACAGTAGCTAGAGATCTACCTTAACACATCATTCCATTTCGTGGCTATACACAGTTTACTTACCCATTTTCATAGTAATAGGACTGTAATGTTATTTAAACTTCATCTGAAAGACCTAGTATAAATTAAATTATTATTATTTTTTAACTTTTTTTTTTTTTTTTTTTTTTAGAGACAGTATTTCACCAGGCTGGCCAGGCTGGTCTCAAACTCCTGACCTTAGGTGATCCATCTGCCTTGGCCTCCCAAAGTGCTGGGATTGCAGGCGTGAGCCACTGTGCCCAGCCCATATAAATTAAATTCTAGTTTCATTTGAGTTTTTCATTACTTTGAAGGGAAATTTTTAGTAATTATCAAAAAATACGAGATCAAACAAGTCCAATTACTAAAAATAAGTGCATTTGTATAATTTAAACTTCTTTCAAATATGGGGACCCAGAGCACTGTATCCCCAGCATTCCTGTGAGCTAGCCAGGAGACAGGGGACATTAACACAAACACATGAAGAAGAGGGTAGAGCAGGGCTCTGTTCTGCTGATTTCTATTATACAGGGCTCTGTGGTCAAGGTCACAGAATGTGTTTCTCCCTGCCATGCAAGAAAGGCAGGGATCCTCCTCTCCTCTTTAGTCTTCCATCCCTGCTCAGAGCTTTTTTTTTTTTTTTTTTTTTTTTTTTTTTTGGGACGGAGTTTCGCTCTTGTTACCCAGGCTGGAGTGCAATGGCGCGATCTCGGCTCACCGCAACCTCCGCCTCCTGGGTTCAGGCAATTCTCCTGCCTCAGCTTCCTGAGTAGCTGGGATTACAGGCACGCACCACCATGCCCAGCTAATTTTTTGTATTTTTAGTAGAGACGGGGTTTCACCGTGTTGACCAGGATGGTCTCGATCTCTTGACCTCGTGATCCGCCCGCCTCGGCCTCCCAAAGTGCTGGGATTACAGGCTTGAGCCACCGCGCCCGGCCCTGCTCAGAGCTTTTTGGCTAGAATCGTCAGTTCAAGGTTTGGCCTCAGAGTCTTTAAGTTGTGAGAGGACAGACATGGTAAGGATATACTGTGCCCAGGTCTGGAGGGTGTGCTACTGAGAATCAGGGAAGGGAAGAGGCTCAGTAGTTGCTGGGGCTGAGGCAGTGCCTGGAAAGCAGAGCCACGTGAAAGGGCAAATGCCAGCTGAGCATGGCCTTGGGTCACTGGCTGCCTTGCAAACAGGAGCTCTGCAGGCAAGGTGGACTTGCACAACAGCAGCCTGTCAGGTCCAGGGTCTTTCACTTGCTTCTTTGGGATCCTCACCAAGCATGTCATTCAACTGTTTATTGTGCATGGACCTTGGTAGGGAATAGGCATTGTTTTGTTTTCTGATCTATTTCTCCTTGAATGCCCATCCTCAACGGCAGGGAACATGTCTTATTCTTCCCAGAACCTTAGGATACATGAAGGGGGAAAATGAGTGAAAATGGAAACTTTGGTGGAGATAATGAGGCTTTTCTTTATTGCTATTATCTTTAGAAGCTGGGTCACAGACATCTTGATATGCACTTAAATATATTTATTTAACAAACATGTACATAGCACTTACTTTGTGCCAGGCATTGTTCTTACACTGTTCACATTTAATTATGCCAACAGCCCTCACATAAACACTATTTTTATCCCCACTTTGCCCGGAAAACTGATGTACAGAGCTTTTAAGTAACTTGACCAAATCCACACACTAATAAGGACTTAAACCTGGGCAATCTGGGCCCAGAGCCACCCTGGCTCTCCTTTTCCTTCTCACACGTCTTGATATGGTTGGGTCTTGGTTATTTTTCCCTTTCGGAGCTCTCGTCTTTTCTTCCTCCTTCTCCATTCCTGTTGCCTCCACCCTAGTGTGTGTTGCGATCATTTATTTGTAGACTGCAGCGCACTAGCCTCTGACTTCAGTCCCTTGCACACCACAGCAAGGCTAACCTTCCTTCATGATGGCTCTCATCGCCCTTTTCCTGCTACAGAACTCTCCTTGGTGTCCTATCCTGTCAGGGCTGATCTCCTGTCTGGTTTCCAAACCTCTGGAATCTGACAGTGCTGCCCTGCTCATCCATCCTCACTTCCCTTGCCAACCCATGTGCTGACACGGCTCCTGGCAGTTCTCGTACCCCTTTCCTGGAGTGCTCTCACCTCTTCCCTGGCCCTCCATCAGTTCATTCTGCCTTGGATGTCCTTCTAGGCCTCACCTCCTGCCCGACTACACAGCTCTTAGTGTCTGCTCTGCCCCTGAATCCAGTCTACAGGCTGTTGGATTTCATTGCTCCTGGCTTTAAAAAGCCCAATTAGGTTTAAACTCTTTGGGGGTCTGTCATTATACCTAGCACTGAGCTGGGTCCCAAAGGACAGTGTTGAGTACTAGGATTAGTAGGCAGAACACATTAGGACATTGGCCCAATATTGGGCTTGTTACTTGGTTTCCTCACCATTAAATGAAGAACTTAAAAGAGATAATGGCCAAGTTTCCTTTTAATTTGCTTAAATAATTTACTTATGTTTGTGTGTATATATATATATAATTTTATTTTTTTTTGAGATGGAGTCTCACTCTGTCGCTGGAGTGCAGTGGCACGATCTCGGCTCACTGCAATATCTGGCTCCTGGGTCTCAGTTCAAGCAGTCCTCCCACCTCAGCCTCCTGAATAGCTGGGATTACAGGTTCACACTACTATGCCTAGCTTTTTTTTGTATTTTTAGTAGAGCTGGGGTTTCACCATGTTGGTCAAGCTGGTCTTGAACTCCTGACCTCATGATCTGCCCACCTCAGCCTCCCAAAGTGCTGGGATTACAGGCATGAGCCACTGCGCCTGGCCACACTTATATATTTTATTTTTTAGAGACAAGGCCTCACTCTGTCACCCAGAGTGGAGTGCATGGGCACAATCATAGCTCACTGTAACCTCAAACTCTTGGGCTCAAGAGATCCTCCCACCTCAGCCTCCCTAGTAGCTAGGACTACAGATGTGGGTCACCATGCCTGGCTGGTTTATTTTATTTGTGTAGAAATGGGGTCTTCCTATGTTGCCCAGGCTGGTCTTGAACTCCTGGCCTCAAACTGTCTTCCCACCTCTGCCTCCCAAAGTGCTGAAATTACAGGCATGAGATACTGTGCCTGGCCACACTTATTTTTTGACAGCTTCGTTGATATATAATTTTTTTTTTTAGAGACAGGGTCTCTCTATCTTGCCCAGGCTAGACTGCAGTGGTTATTCACAGGTGCAATCCTACTACTGGTCAGCATGGGAGTTTTGACCTGCTCCGTTTCCGACCTGAGCTGATTTAACCCTCCTTAGGCAACCTGGTGTTCCCTCGCTCCTAGGAGGTCACCATATTGATGCCGAACTTAGTGCGGACACCCAATCAGCATAGCGCACTACAGCCCAGAACTCCAGGGCTCAAGCAATCTTCCCACCTCAGCCTCCGAGTAGCTGGGACTACAGGCACGTGCCACTGCGCCTGGCTTCATTGATATATAATTTACATAGCATATAATTCACTCATGTAAAGTGTATAATTCAATAGTTTTTAATATATTCAGGTATGTACAACCATCATCACAGTCACATTTAGAACATTTTCATCACCAAAAAGAGAATCCGCAACTAACTAGATAGCTATTAGCCATCCCCCTCTCCTCTACATTCTCATCTTCACCAGTTTTAAGAAAATTACTAAGCTACTTTATGTCTCTGTAGCTTTGTTTACTCTGGAAATTTTGTGTAAATTGAATCATATGATGTGTGGTCTTTTATGACTGACTTATTGCACTTGGCATACTCAGGGCTCCTCTGTGTTGTAGCATATATCAGAACTTCATTCTTTTTATGGCTTAATAATATTGCATTCTATGGATATAATACCTTTTGTTTATCCATTCATTTGTTGGCAGACTTTTGGGTTGTCTCCATCTTTTGGGAAATTACATCTATTTTTGAGGAGAAAATGATCTTCCTTTAGTGGTTTCTACAGTTGCCAACAGCAGTTTCCTTCTACTGCTTTAAAGGTAGGGATCTGGGCTTAATGGTTTTGTTTGTGCTGTGTGGATGGACAGGTTGGATGCTTGGTCATCAATGTCAGAGAGCAGTCACAGGGAGTACTCGTGAACTTTGTAATCAGACATACTGGTTTGAATCATGGATTTGCCACTTAATGAGCTTACATAACTTCAGGAAGCACGTTTCCTCCTTAGTAAAGTGGGATCCACCTTGCCTGTTTCCTTATAGTCAGAGCTATGCTAGAAACTACGTGGGCCTGGGGCAACTCAAGCAATGCAGAGGGACCTCATGGCTATAAAAATAAATAAGTAAATAAATTTTAAAAAGTAAAAATTATTAAAAGCCGGGCGCGGTGGCTCAAGCCTGTAATCCCAGCACTTTGGGAGGCCGAGGCGGGTGGATCACGAGGTCAAGAGATCGAGACTATCCTGGTCAACACAGTGAAACCCCGTCTCTACTAAAAATACAAAAAATTAGCTGGGCATGGTGGTGCATGCCTGTAATCCCAGCTACTCAGGAGGCTGAGGCAGGAGAATTGCCTGAACCCAGGAGGCGGAGGTTGCGGCGAGCCGAGATTGCGCCATTGCACTCCAGGCTGGGTAAAATGAGTGAAAACCCGTTTTCAAAAAAAAAAAAAAAATAAAAAAAAAAAAAGTAAAAATTATTTTTGGCTGCTTGTAGTGGCCTACGAGGTTGAGAGATTGAAACCATCCTGGCCAACATGGTGAAACCCAGTCTTTACTAAAAATACAAAAAATTAGCCAGTAGTGGTGGCGTGCACCTGCAGTCCCAGCTACTCAGGAGGCTGAGGCAGGAGGATCATTTGAGGTGGAGGTTGCAGTGAGCCAAGATTGCACCACTGCACTCCAGCCTGGCGACAGGGCAAGACAGTCTCAAAATTCAAAAACAAATAAAACGTAAAAATTATATATTTTTAAAGTGCTCTTACGCCTGTAATTCCAGTACTTTGGGAGGCTGAACCCAGGCAGATCACTTGAACCCAGAAGTTTGAGACCAACCTGGGCAACATAATGAGACTCCATCTCTACAAAAAATACAAAAAATTAGCTGTTCGTAATGGTGGGCACCTGTAGTCCTAGCTACTCGGGGGAACAAAGATGGGAGGATCACTTGAGCCCGAGAAGTTGAGGCTGCAGTGAGCCACTGTACTCCAGCCCGGGTGACAGGGTGAGATCCTGTCTCAAAATAAATAAATAAAAAATGCCTAAAGTTCTCAATTTTATTGAGGTGTCATGCCTCATAGCTCTTTCCTACCAAGCATGGAGCCCAGGATCACCACCCTAGTTGTAGTACCCAGGGCGGACCTACTTACTCTTGTTGAGATAATTCATGTCTCCCTTTGTGTATGTTAATGGCCTTTCTTGATCTTGGGTCTGGATTTGTGCTCCAGTCACTACCCCATCAGGTCATTTGAGAAGAATGACTGGAGGGGAGTGAGACGTTTTTCCCTCTCTTGAGACTATACAGCAGGAGTGTATTTTATTCTTTGTGGGATAGGCAAGGAGGATGCATTGCTTTTTTGGGGTAAGCTTTGCCTGAAATTTGTTATGCCAGAGGGCAGATGTTGACTCTGAGCTTGCATATGGTTATTAAACATCTGTTGGGTCTTATATTTGGGGTTTGTATGTGAAGACTAAAATGCCTTTTTTGGTAACTGGATGAATGAGAGATTGAAGTGTTAATTTGATCCAAACTTTCCTTGGAGAGTGGTATTCACAACTGATTTTGCTAATGTCATTAAGAATCAAGGAACCTGACAATTTTGGATTTTAGGCAAGGCCTCTCTCTACACTTAGAGTAACAATTTAAAAAATTGTTTTAAAGGAAGGACGTTTTAGAAATAAACAACTCTTGGCCGGGCGCGGTGGCTCAAGCCTGTAATCCCAGCACTTTGGGAGGCTGAGACGAGTGGATCACGAAGTCAAGAGATCGAGACCATCCTGGTCAACACGGTGAAACCCCGTCTCTACTAAAAATACAAAAAAAATTAGCTGGGCATGGTGGCGCGTGCCTGTAATCCCAGCTACTCAGGAGGCTGAGGCAGGAGAATTGCCTGAACCCAGGAGGCGGAGGTTGCGGTGAGCCGAGATCGCGCCATTGCACTCCAGCCTGGGTAACAAGAGCGAAACTCCGTCCCCCCCCCAAAAAAGAAATAAACAACTCTTATAATAATGGATTTTTTGAGATAATGAAAAGTAAGTCATTTTTCTCATCTAAACTTAGCTTCTGCCTCCATGATATTGGTAGGAGGTTGAGAAATTTGAATGTGGGGATTACGTGAATCTTTATTCCCCTTCCTCTACCCTGACCCAAAGTGAGTAGGGACAGGTCTGGCCTGGCATTCCTCCCCCTAGCTTGACCTATTAACAGCAACTGTGAAAAGGTCAACATTTCCAGGCTGACATACTGACCACATTTTGTGTGGGAGATCTCAACAAAAGAATATTTTTTTCTGGGAGACTGACATCCCCTTTTGTCCATTAAGTCTGTCCTTTCCATCATTAGATTGTGAACCTTGTCAGAATTAAGTAAACCTTAAAAACAAAGAAGGAATGAGTAAAGGAAATTTAGTTTGCTACATCTAAATGCAAATTGTGCAAAAACAGATGGGTGAGGTAAGAATGGACGTCATTCCTGGCGTGACTGCAGGTACCCTTGGTCTACACAATGACCCTGGAAAAGGAGGATTTAATCATCTGAGTTACTAGCCGTTCTCATTACTTCAGGCATTGTGGCTCTGTTTCCTATTGATCCTAGTGCTAACGTGCCCTGATTTATATGCAGACTCTTGTTTGCCTACCCAATAAGTGCAGAAGGGCTTAAACAGGTGACTGGGGCCTCACATGAAGTAACAAGACTATTTCTGCCTGGAAAGTATAGTGAGCTGAGCAGGACTGAGCTGGTCTGCAGGAAACCAAGAAAAAATTCTGATTATCTGTCTCCAAATAGAGGCATATCCTATCTATGAGTTGGCCAGCTAGGAGAGTGGAAACAGTCTAGATTTTTGTCTTTGGCTGCTGATCTGAGAGAAGTTGCTGTTTTTCTTTTATCCTTGGTAGAAAACTTTTTCTTCATCTCTACCTATTTATTGCCAAAGGAAAATGAGACTTTAATTTTATTTGAGTTATTTTGGGACTGCCACTCCTGTAATTATGGTTCACTTAAATCTTAGAATATTACTTATTGCAAAAGTAATTTATAGGAAATTGGAAATTTTTTACAGAAGTAAAAACCCACTGAAGATTTTACTATTCTAATATCCTTTAAGTTAGCCTGGTGTGGTGGCTCACACCTGTAATCCCAGCACTTTAAGAAGCTGAGGCAGGAGGATTGCTTGAATCCAGGAGTTTGGGACCAGCCTGGGCAACATAGTGAGAACCCATCTCTACAAAAAATAAAAATAGTTAGCTGGGCACAGGGTGTGTGCCTGTAGTCCCAGCTACTGGGAGGCTGAGGTGGGAGGATCGCTTGAGTCATGGAAGTTGAG